AATAATAATAAAAAACAGTTACCATCTTGGAAACCCACAGAGGCAGTTCTACCCTGTCCTGTGGAGTCTCTGTGCATGGGCTTCAACTCAATGGCAAGGAGTTTGACTTTGAGTTGCACGATCCCTGCAACTTCCAGGTGCATTACATTTTATCCAAAACAAAACATCGGTGGCCTGTGCTTAACCCGCCACACCACCAGACCTCCTTGACACACAGCCCCACCGGGCCCACTGCCATTGATCTTACAGGATCCTCACAGGATCACTCAGCTGGTGGTTTGGAACCGCTGACCTTGTGGTTAGCAGCCCAGCATGCAGCCCACTACACCACCAGGGCAAACTCCCAAAATGAAAGCCTCAGCCCTCGCGCCCCCAGGTGACCCAGGATGCTGAGCTTCCAGCACCTACTCAGGCACTGGGGCTCCGTGAGTGGGGCTTCTGTCTCTGATCCCGGCAGCCTCTTCCCCTCTTGGTCCACACAGAAGGCCTGCCCACTGGCCCTGTCTGTCTGCTGTGCCTGGTACTGGCCGTCCTGGTCACACTGCAGGCCCACCTCGTTCCTCTGACAGCGGGTGACACCTGAAACCAAGACATGGGCGCAGCAATCAGCAACATGCCTGCAGAATTCCCTCCTTCCCAACTCTCAGACGCCTGGTCACACGTCTGAGCCAGGTGCTGCTCTAGCTTTAAGCCCTTCGGTGTGGCCCCCTACCCCGGGCAAAGGACAGTGACTGGGGTCCCAGTGATAGCCAGTAAGGTCCTGTGACCTGGGCCCCGGGCCCCGGACTCCACACCCAGTTGATCGTGTCCAGCACCCTGTCCCCGCAGTCCTCTTGATGTCCCTGCTCAGGCACTGACTCTGCTGCCCTGGGCTCTGGTGCCTAGGCCTCCCCAACCCTCCCTGGGCCCACAGTCCACTGCTCCTCTGTACTCAGTCCTCATGTCCCTGGGGCTGAGGGCCAGTCCAGCTGTCCACACTCTCCCAGCACCCACCCTGCCCTTCGTGGCAGTGAGCCTGGCCCTTATTGTGTGCTTAATGGCTGACTCCCAATGGAGAACAAGGCCCCTGGGGCAGGGACCAGCTAGGGCTCTGCTCACCATTGTATCCCAGGGCCCAGCACCGTGTCTGACAAACAGACACGTGGATTCCAACTCATAGCGACCCTACTGTCCACAGCAGACTGTCCCTGTGGATTTCCCCGGAAATACATCATGACAGAAGCAAACTGTCTCATCTTCCTTCTAAAAGGCCACTGGGGGAGTCGAACTACTGACCCTGACGATAGCAGCTCAACTCATAACCCACTATACCACCAGTACTCCTTGACACAGAGCAGGAACTCCAAAAGTTCAAAGACGGCTGGTTGAGTACACCAATGAATGCCTCACTCCTGGCCTCAGCTGTGGCCTCTCCTGAAGTCCCTTCTCCCCCTGCCCCTGGAAAGTCCCCATCACACCCAGGGCCTGAGACAGGCTGCCCCAGGATTAGTTACGATGCACCCTCAATAGATGGCAGACCCTACTAGCCTAGCTGCTTGTCTATCTCCCCATGCTCCCTGCCGAGGACACTGACAACATCAGGATGGAGAGCTTTTCTTCTCGTGCTGTATCTAG